TTTTTCCAGCCCCAAAATCACTTATGGCCCTCGATTCCCTCCAGCCCCTTTTGCAGGCTGTGATGACTCAGGGAAATCACTCAGGTATAAAGACAAGTGGTCTGTGTTCAGGTAGCAAAGACCCAGCAGGCAGAGGCTGCCAGCTCCCATCCTTAGGGACCAGCTTCACATTCCCAGTGCACATCCAGGTCCATCCCACGGATGGGAGCTGTGGCACCCAGGGAAAGGAGGGCAGGATGTGGCAAAACCACCAAGGGGAGGGAGGGTCAGCCCTCCTGGCACCCCTCATGGAGGAGACGCCCCCCCCCCTTGGGCAGAGTCACCCCCCACAGACCACAGACCCATCCTGCAGACCCACACGCTTCCATCAAGGAATGTCCCTCCCAGCTGGCTCACATCCCACCTGTCTCCACTCCCCGGGCTCCCAAGGGCTCAGCTTGACCACCCCCCACCCTCACCCCCAAGAATACAATTTGCTCCTACGTGTTTCTGGTCCCTTTGCTGGCCCTTCAGCTTCTGCTGGAGGCGCCGAGCCGCCCGCAGCCACTGCTGGCCCAAGTGCCGGATCCTCTTCTTCATGAAGCTGAGGGACTCCTTGCCCGTGCCAACCAGCTCCAGGAGGTGAGCCAGGTCACTCTGGAAAGCTGCCTGGGAAAGGAGGATGCTCTGTGTTTTGAGTGTGGAGAAAGCAAGCAGGAGTGGAGCTGCCACGGGGCTGCCCATCGTGGCTGTGGGTCCCACCTGGGGGGAGAGCTTCCCCTGGGTGCCACCAGACCTGACACCGGGGCTCCTCTGCTTAATGCAGCAAATCCCAGGTGTACCCGGAGCATCTGGTGACACCCCAGATTCCTCAGCCTGGGAAAGACACGGACCTGCTTCAGTGATGCCACAGAAATGATCAGAGGGCTGGAAACAGCTCTGCTATGAGGGCAGGCTGAGAGGGTCAGGGTTGTTCAGCTCCAGGGAGACCTCACTGTGCCTTTTAGTAGTTATAGGGGGCTGATAAGGGTGATGGGGACACACTTTTAAGCAGGGCTTGAGCAATAGGATGAGGGGGGGTGGTTTTAAAGTGGAAGAGGGAAGATTTAAACTAGATGTAAGGCAGAAATTTGTTACCATGAGGGTGGGGAGACACTGGCACAGGTTGTCTAGAGAGGTGGCAGATGCCCCAACCCCTAGAAATATTCAAGGAGCAACCTGGTCGGGTTGAAGGTGTCCCTACTCATGGCAGGGGGACTGAACTGGATGAGCTTCAAAGGTCCCTTTGGCCCAAACCACTCCATGAGAACCCACCTGCAGCATCGTGACCATCGTTTCTTTCCAGCAGCCTTGGAGCCACCATCTCCCCCCAAGCCCCCCTGGGACCACCTGCACACAGGCTGTCCCCACCTTACCTGCCCCCGGGGCAGTGGTGGGGGGGAAGGCAGAGCTGCTGTCCTGTTTCTCCAGGGCAGGGGAGGGCAGAACCACTCGACTTCGCTGAGGTAGATGAGGAAGGAGCACTCGGTGCCGTCCACGCCAAAAAACGCGTAGCAGGGGTCGGAGGTCCACCTGGCCCTCATCCACTGCCAGGGGGCAAAGAAACACGTGGGGCTCATCTCACCCAGCCAGGAGGGGACGTGGCAGCCCTGTGAGCTGCCCCTGCTACGGGCAACCTCTCTTCTCCATCACTCTTCTCCAGCTGGGAGCTGGAAATGAGGGGCAGGAGGTGGGTAAAGGGCTGGGAACCAAGGGGCGCCCAGCACTGGTGCTGGTGTTCACCCAGCTGGTGCCTCCAGGGCACACAGGGCAGAGGAAGAGCCACCAGGAGGTTTTTTTGGGAGCTCCCTGGGTTTCCAGCACCAGTTCCAGCCTTCCCTGAGGGCACAGCCATGAATCTCTAGGAAATTACACCCACAGGGTTTTCTCCTTGTTAGGTCTGCTGGGAGCAAGCAGAGCTGATCTCACTGCCCCTGGGGAAGGAGACAGACCCACTGGTGGTCTCCATGTGATGATTCCACATGAAGGAGGTTAACCCTCAACCTCAGCAGTGATTTATCACCCCTGCCTAGAGAGGTGGCAGATGTCCCAACCCCTAGAAATATTCAAGGAGCAACCTGGTCGGGTTGAAGGTGTCCCTACTCACAGCAGGGGGACTGAACTGGATGAGCTTCAAAGGTCCCTTTGGCCCAAACCACTCCATGAGAACCCACCTGCAGCATCGTGACCATCGTTTCTTTCCAGCAGCCTTGGAGCCACCATCTCCCCCCAAACCCCCCTGGGACCACCTGCACACAGGCTGTCCCCACCTTACCTGCCCCCGGGGCAGTGGTGGGGGGGAAGGCAGAGCTGCTGTCCTGTTTCTCCAGGGCAGGGGAGGGCAGAACCACTCGACTTCGCTGAGGTAGATGAGGAAGGAGCACTCGGTGCCGTCCACGCCAAAAAACGCGTAGCAGGGGTCGGAGGTCCACCTGGCCCTCATCCACTGCCAGGGGGCAAAGAAACACGTGGGGCTCATCTCACCCAGCCAGGAGGGGACGTGGCAGCCCTGTGAGCTGCCCCTGCTACGGGCAACCTCTCTTCTCCATCACTCTTCTCCAGCTGGGAGCTGGAAATGAGGGGCAGGAGGTGGGTAAAGGGCTGGGAACCAAGGGGCGCCCAGCACTGGTGCTGGTGTTCACCCAGCTGGTGCCTCCAGGGCACACAGGGCAGAGGAAGAGCCACCAGGAGGTTTTTTTGGGAGCTCCCTGGGTTTCCAGCACCAGTTCCAGCCTTCCCTGAGGGCACAGCCATGAATCTCTAGGAAATTACACCCACAGGGTTTTCTCCTTGTTAGGTCTGCTGGGAGCAAGCAGAGCTGATCTCACTGCCCCTGGGGAAGGAGACAGACCCACTGGTGGTCTCCATGTGATGATTCCACATGAAGGAGGTTAACCCTCAACCTCAGCAGTGATTTATCACCCCCCACAGTGCTTCTTTTCCAGCCTCTTCCTGATTCAACTACAAAACCAAATCCACTCAGTAGACAGGTCGCTGTGCCCACTAGTTAAAATTCAGCAATCACTGGGACAGGAGATGGAATTACAGCCTTCCACAATTCAATTACATTCCAAATTTACTCCAATACAACCCCCCTGGTATCATTTCAATACACCCTTCAGCATCTTTTCAGGGAGACTCCACCCTGCAGAAGCAGGAGCTTGAAGCAGGAGGCTGGGAAGGGGAGGGAAGAGGGAGATGTTTTAAATTAATTGCTGTAAATATGCTCTCTGACCAAGCCATCATGCTCTGGGCCAAATGCCAGGCTGCATTCAGGTGTAAAGAGCAGGATGGGTCAGGCAGGACATCCTATTCAGGATGGAGGTCCTGGCTGCCTTAGTGAGATGCTCTTCTGTGCCCTGCTGGGATCATTCCCCAGACACCAGCTCAATCTCCAGGTACTTAAAGATGATGTGACGGTGCCTCCTGCTCACCACGCGTGTCATTAAACACAGGAGTGACAACCAGGAGGGCTGCAGGGAGGGTGGGCTCACGGGGCTGATCCTGCTGCTCCTGCACACCCCTGGGAACACAGTTACACTGGTACAGCAAAGGCTCCCAGAGGAGGTTGGAAACCTCCCTTGTGTTTTCTCCTCACAGCACAGCCACGCTTTGCTTTCCACACCTTTAGCTCTGCTCCTCCTTCTGCAACGGGGCCATTTGAAAGCAAAGAGATTTATTCTGCAAAGCAACCCCCTTCCCCACCACCCTTCCTGGTTTAAACCCCTGGGTTGCTGCTTTGTGCCCTTCCCAGAAGCTTCCACCCTGGATCAAGCCCCTCTTCCAGACAGGGAACCCTGACTCACCTCCACTTTCCCAGCGCAGTCAGGGTACTTGGGGTCCCTGGGCACCTCACACTGGTCCCTCCTGCCTTCCATCACTGCAGAAAGACAACTTGGGTATGGAAAGAGCTCGGATGTGTCAGCAGAGCAGCTAGATATGCTGGGAGGGGATGGGATTGGATGGGATGGGGTTGCAGGAACAAGTTTCTCTGGTCTTGCTCCTCTGCAAATTCATCTCCCTGGCTCTCGAGACCTCCTGGGCCAAGTGAGGCAGCACTGCCAGCAGAACACTGCTGCTCTTACAGACCAGCGTGTTTCCCTATGCAGCTGCCTTTTCCTGGCTGTAATACCAGGGTGAGAGCCCTGGAAACCTCTAGGAAGGCTCAGAGCACACTCAGAACCTCCTGGCCCTCAAGGAGATGGTCTGACCAGATGCTGCACCAGCACAGAGTTGGACACTTTAGGTGCTTCAGGTGCCCTGCTCAGACAGGGGTGAGTTGGATAACCTCAGATCAGCATTCACACTCCTGCCTTTTCACCTCATTTTTGGTGAAATCTGGATCTCCCTAGTGCAACTGCAACCCCTAGGAGGTCTGGAGCTGGGGGGACCCATGGGGACACTTACCTTTCCCATTCAGGAGGCTGTTCCGGAGAATCTGATCTACTTTCATTGCAATGTCTGAGACGTTTTGAGCTATAGCTTGGATCCTCTCCATCAACCCAGCTGCTGGCTGGAACCTGGGGAGAAAACCAAATACACCCTGAAAACATGATATCTCCCACTTGGTGGCACCCAGGGGTGTTTACAGCAAACTGGCCACCCTTGGAAGCTGCCAGCAGGTTGAACTTAGCTCCAGGATGCAACACAGGAACAACCTGGTCCAGTGTGTACTGGGCAAAGAGGGCACTGCCTCCCAAGAGGTTTGATTAAAACCTCTGTCAATCAGTATTTCTGCTGGTTTGTTGTTTGTTTTTTTCCTCAGTGTGCTGATAAAGATGGGTACATCTGTGCATCTTGCACGGGGAAGTATTAAATAGGCTGGAAAAAATTGGTTTTCTTAGTCGAGATGTGCTGTGTTTGAAAATGCTCTGCTGCAATTACTGGCCTTGCAGCACATGTAGGAAGCCCTGCTGGGAAGGAAAGGGGAAGAAAAACATAAAAGAAAAAGGCAGAGAAAAGCAAGGAAAAGTGGAGGAGGGCTGAGGAAGCCTGTGGGGCTGGAGCAGAATGAGGACAAATGCAGAAGGTGACATGGATGGCCTGAGCCAGCCCAGCCACCAAAGCTGGAGGAGATGGGATGTCCAGGTCCCCCCTGGTAAGGAGCAGAGGTGAGGGCTGTGCAGGGACAGGGATGGGTTTCTCTCTCTCTCTAGCCTTATGCTTTGCACATAAGGGCAACATCACTTCTAATTTTGCCAAGTTTTGCTGTTTGCAACCGGTTGTTTCACAGAACCATTCTGGCTGGAAAAGACCTTGAAGATCATCGAGTCCAACCATAACCTAAATCCACCAACCATCACCTCATCTACCCATTCAGTGCTTAAATCATGTCCCTCAGCACCACATCTGTATTTCTTTTTAACACTTCCAGGGATGGTGACTCCACCACCTCCCTGGGCAGCCTGTTCCAGAGTCCAATCACTCTTTTGGTAAAGAAATTCTTCCCAACATCTAGTCTAAGTTTCCATCTTGCTAAGTTCTGCCCGTTGTAACCTATGGCTTTGAGAGTGACAGTGTGGTGTGTTTTCGAGTCCAACCATAACCTAAATCCACCAACCATCACCTCATCTACCCATTCAGTGCTTAAATCATGTCCCTCAGCACCACATCTGTATTTCTTTTTAACACTTCCAGGGATGGTGACTCCACCACCTCCCTGGGCAGCCTGTTCCAGAGTCCAATCACTCTTTTGGTAAAGAAATTCTTCCCAACATCTAGTCTAAGTTTCCATCTTGCTAAGTTCTGCCCGTTGTAACCTATGGCTTTGAGAGTGACAGTGTGGTGTGTTTTTTTGGCAGGGTTTATAATCTTACTCAGATTTAAATCAAGTTGTGTTTTGTATAAACTTGCTGGGGAAGGGTCCTGCTCTTAGAATACTATGCAGAGAACTCAAGAGGTTAATCTCACTGACTGAGTTGTTAAAAGAGATTAACTAAGAGAGGGTTAACCCTGCCTATACCCAACTGGTGGGATGTGACATGTCAGCAGCCACAGTTGAGCCAGGTGTCACAGCCCTGTGGGCATCTTCCCACCAAGGCTGGAGATCAGACCCCACCATACACCATCCATGGAACTGAACCTGACAATCAATACCCACCCTGGGTGACCAGCACCACTAAACTCACCTACACAACACGTTGTGCAGGCTGCAAAGAGCCTGGTGTTGATTAAAACCTGGTGTCATGTCTCAAAGGCCATGAGAACTCCATCCATCAGCAGCAGTGCCCTGCTGGGCTTGACAAAGAGCAAGATCTCCACCCCCAACACCTCACCTGCTGCTTCCACCACAACCAACCACCACGTCCCAGTGAGCACCGTTATCTCAGGAAATAATTCCCCCTTCTGCAGCATCTGGGTCATGAGTTTTTCCTCCTGCTGCTGCCAAGATCATTATCATACAAGGAAATGTCACGAGCAGTGAGCAAAACCACAAGGGCTACCTTGAACACTCCTGGCACCAAAAAACATGTGCTGATATCAGGCCCTTGCTGGGGAAGTTTTATGCTTGTTCTCCAGCAGATCAGTGAACCTGAAGGTTGGGATATAAAGCACCTCTGTCCTCAAGGCTAAAAAAATCCTGGTTTTATTAACAGATACTGCTTTGGTTGGTGATTTAAAGTCCATTTGTGAGCAAGCCCACATTTTTCCTTCTGGCATGGTTTATGACTGTCAATATTCAGGCTGTGTTTCTCCACAGGGAGCCACACATCTTTGGCTTTTAAGGAATAATAATTAAAGGGAGAGGACACCATTGCCCCCAAGAAACTTTCGACCTTTGCAGAGAATAAACCCCAGGTATCTTGCCAGCTCCTGTGACTGCTGCAGCAGGGAAGGGGCTTGTAAGGCTCTGGTAAAATACAAGCACAAAAATGACCTGTGATGAGCTCTGCTTGTCAGTGTGGCTCCAAGGAGATAAAATGCCTCAAGGTCTGAGGGCTGCTCAGCTCTGCCAGCCCTGAAAGCTCACAAACCCCCATTTCTGCAACCCTTTTTCCACTGGCAAGCAGCCATCAGACCATGCAAGGTGATGCTCAGGTGCTCAGTGAACAGGGACCAGCTGGGATGTGCAGTTTAGGAGCAAATGTCCCAAGGATGCAGTGGATTTAGAGCCAGAGAGTTCAGTCTCCTGCTTCAACAACAGGAGAGGGTGGAGGTGCTCCTCAGGTTTCTCCATCACTCATGGTAAGGAGGGAGGATGAGCACAGTGGTGGCAGCTCTGTTCCCACACTTCAGAGCACCTACATCAGCCCACAACCCAATAGATTCCCAGGAGTCTATCCCAGCCCTCACTCCAAACACCCAAGTAATTAGGTGAAGCCCCAAAGACAACAGCAACCTTGGCCTCCACCTCCTCCCTGATGACCTCCAGACCTCAGTTCAACCAGGGCTGAGCACGGGGCACCCACCAACACACTGAAACAAAAAAACCAGGATGATTACCCTAAATAAATGCCTTTCTTCCAGGCCCAGCCTCAGCACCAGCCTGAGCCCTGCTGGAGCTCTGGCCACGGTGGTGGTTTCCACTGGCTGATGGACCTGGTCCAGCTTCTGTGCCAGCTTGCCCAGCTCTTACACGTGACATCTGCTCCCTGAACACAAAGGTTTGAACACAGAGCCCTTTGATGTGTCTGATCACCCCACTCTGACAGCACCTCCAGCTCTTGCAAACAAGACAGTCGTGTTGCTCAGGCTCCTCCTGCCCCTCCCCAAAAGGCAAAGTCACTGCAAAGTGACACCAAAACACCCACTGTGGGTCTTGGCATATATTAAGAAGATGGAAAAATGGTAGAAAACGTCCCTTCAACATAAAGAACCGGGATCAAATCTCTCACCACTTGCATGGCTAACACTTGTCCAACTAGTTTTCTCCAAACCCCCACAACTCTGAGTGAGGGATTCCATGCCTGGAATGAAGAGCCACCCTCCCAGCCTGGGAGCACTGCTGAGCCTCAGCTGTTGGCACCCACATGGGCAGCACCAAGTCAGCCACCTCCCTTCTTTTAGGCTTCCAAGGCTGTGATTTGAACAGCAAATTTCATGCAACTTCTTAAAGAGAGAACAAGAAGGTCAAGCAGAAGTGACATCACCTATCATTACAGCCACTTCTCACCTGGGCAGAGGACAAGAAAACAAGGCATTTAAGAGAAAACCTCAATGTAAAAAGGTTTCCTGTAGCTCATCAGAAGCTGATGCCTTATTCTTTGTAACTGGTAACACTGGGAAGGACAAGGTAAGTGCTTGTTCTGCTCGAGGAGAGAAGCAGAACATCCCACCACGTCTCCATCCCAGCTGGGATCCTGGCACAGCCTCTGCCAGCCCTGTGGAAAGAGCTCAGCTCCCTGCTTAGGGAGCAGCAATGGGCTTGGTGGGTTTTATGATTTCCTTGTTGCTTTTTAAATCTTATAGCAACAATATAAATGCCACCAAAATGCACTGGGGCAGTGCCAGTTATTGAAACGACAGTAAATTACTGGGAGTTTTCCAGAACAATTTTTTTCCCCGGGACCTTAAAACCGTTTACTACAGCAAATACAGCACTTTTACTCCTAACCATCAATATTGATTTTGTCTTTATTATTTTCAGATTTATATTCCCCTGCCTTGATTAAGATTCAGATCACACTGTTCCTTATAATGCACTGGATACAGTATTCATCTCATTTCAAAACCTGCTATTAAGATGTATCTTACCCCATTGGCAGATCATTTGCTATATAATATAGCCAGAGGCTGAGTTTTCCTGTACTTTTTTATGCATTAATTTGGTTCCCTTCACTTTGTCTCTTGTCCCCAAAACCCTCAGCAGCTCAGAATCAGCCTGTTTATCCCTTTACAAGGCACTGTATTTTTATTGCCTTTTATAAAAGTGGCATTATGAAAAGATGAATCTCTTTCTATTTGTGTGTTGTCTTCATAACACGAGCCCTAAACATATTTGCTTGCTCATCTGATATTTCTTGCTATTAACTGGTGAAAGCTGTGACTTTGGGAAGACCAATACAGATGGAGAAAAGCAGATGTTCTGAAGATAATACATCAACAATTGCAACATTTGCAGAGAGCAGTTTACCAAAGGATTTCAACTTGCTCGTTACAATCTCTGTGTTGTCATTTGCCTCTTTAAAGTTGTTTGGTTTGGTTTTGTTTTCCCCAAGGCAGAGCAGAAAGCAGCTGGGAACAGTGCCTGGGGCTGGCATTGGGCTCTCCCTGCTCCAGGGACACACATCACTCCCCCCCTGACCTCCAGCTCCATGACAGCCTTGCTCTCCAGGATGGGAAACTGAAATCCTGAAGGTGGCACTGATGGACAACCCTTCCCTGGGGAAAAGCTTTTGAGGTGCTGCCCATTAACAGAGCTGGGCTATCTCCTGGAGAAATGAACCCCTAAGGGCATTTCCAGCAGGTCACCCCACAGACTCAGGTTCCCCTCTCCCTGTCTGTCCCTCCATCCATCCATCCCTCCATTCATCCATCCAGGACAAACTTGGGGTCATTCAACAGTTGGGAGACAAGCCAA